AAAATAAAACCTTAATTAATAAGATAAGATAAAAGAAAAACTTTATTACCAAGCCACCACTTTTTGAGTTCTACTCTAAGAATTTAGCGACTTTGATTTTATTTAATCCTTTTAAAGTTTTAAAGTTTTTATTAGCCGAACTATATATGTTTTATAATTGATACTATAGTTTACCATTTGTTAATGAGCTTACATCTCATTTTACTTTTGATTTATGAAGGAGATCATGGAAAATATTTAATTTCACAAATTTCTTAATCTTTATCACTCTCTCCATCCCTAAATAGTTGTCCTTTTATAACTTTGAACTTTTTTAATTAATTGTAATTTATTTCATTTTTTAAATCAATAAATATTTTTTCTTAATTTAACATTATCATTCTTCATTTATTTTAATTAATTATCTCATCACAAAATATCTTTTTATCATTTAGTTTTGTTCTTAATAATATGTTTGAGTTGAAAGGAAAAAAAAAGAAAAAATTTTCTTTATTTAGTTACAAAAAAAATTGAAGATGAGAAGAGAGAAGTGAAACCATTTGCTTTATTTTTTTTTCTTTTAATTCATTTAATTATCCCAATAAAGAGAATAGAGATAAATGAAAGGATATTTTTCTCTTCCCTTTTTCTTTATTCTCTTTAAACTAAATATATTCTAAAAGTAATAAACATAAACATATAAATTATTTTAAAAATTTTAATTTAAAAGAAAGTTAAAAAAATAAAAATTACTATTTTTTAAATAAATTTATAATGAATCGGATTCAAACTATTATTCGAGAAGAGAGAGTGCATTTTGGGTGAGCTGAGGTCACTGAACTAAAGGTCTAAGTGTAAAAAATTATTTTAAAAGATATAAAATAAATAATTTGTATATCCATGATAAGATTCGGAGTGAACTTTACTGGGGTAGTTTATTAAATTAGATGAGATTGAAAAGGCAGACTCAGGTTTCTTTTTATTTTTAATGTAGAATAATGGGAGTTTTTTTTTTTTTTTTTTTGGTGGAAGAATGGGAGGTTGATATTAGCAGTTTTTGTTGAGGGTTTGTCCTAGACGGCGCCGGTAGGTGAAGTGGCGGCGAGGAATCTGCAAGACGTCGAGTGGGGAATTTCGGACCTTTTTCTGGTGTCTTGGGCCTTTGAACTTAGCTCTTTTGCTTGTTTAGGTCCTTCAATTAGCTTCTTGTTCAATTGGGTCCTTTTAGTTTAATAGTTGTTTCAGGTTAAGGCTTTCTTTTCGTTTGTGTAGCTTTTTTAGCTTTTAGTGTGGGTTAGGGACCTTTGTTTGGTCCAATTATATTAGGTACCTCAATAAAGCCAGTCATGTATGCTTCTAGTGCATTATAAATGTTTAGAGAGCTTTTAACAAAGTAAATTTATAAAGGCGTATCTTTGTGATCTTACTATTGTTTAATTAGAAGAAAATGACAACCTTGTTGTTTAGAATACCCCTAGCTTATGATGTAACCTCTGGATTGGGCAAAGCCCTAGTCTTCTATGAGTTCTTGCTATCCTCGTGTTACATTCAATATAATGATTTACACTTTCGTGAAAGATAATATTAGGTTTTCTTTATTTTTAATGTAAAACGTTAATAACCTAAATAATTCAGTGATAATCCATTTTCATTGAAAGTAAGAGATTCTAAATTCAAATCACATAACATGAGAATAGAGTGAGATAGGAAATAAAAGAGTGTTACTTTTAATTGTGCAACCAACATTAAAAAAAATTGTAAAGCAAACATAATAGACTATACTAGTATAAACAATATACAAATTTATTAATATAAAGTGTATAAATTAATTTTTTAAATTAAATAATAATATTTTAAAAGAACTCGCACACTCGAACCCCACAACTTTAACATTACGAGATTCACTAAATTAGGGGCTAAAGATACATTTGAGGTATTTGCACAAGAAAGCTAATTATATAGGTTATTGGTATAATTCGTATGAAGTCATATCTATAATTCTATATGCTAATGCTTTATGTAAAGATTAATCCTAAGAATCAAGACGTGGGAAATTGGGAATCGTACTAATTCAATTGCTTATTTCTATTTTAATTTGGTTCCAAGTGACATCCAAATTAACTTTTATTTTTATTATCAAAATTAAAGTTAAAAAAATAACAATTGCTCCCTCCACCAAGACCCTGACTCAGACAAGAATATCTCCCCCATATATAGTTACACCCTTCAAACGTAAACACTACCCATACGGCTGAGTTAACTCGGCCGAGTTGGAGAAAGCTGGCTCTTCTAGAAATATGCAAGCATGCCACAATATTCTCTTCCAATCAATTAATAAACAAACAAAAGGGCTATCATGTTCCAAAAAAAAAACAAAAAACAAAAGGGATATAGTTTAATTAATATTCCTAACAACTTAAATAACTCAGTGATTATCTTCTTCTATTAAAAAAAAAATCTTGAGTTCAAGTCGCATGACACTCGAAAGAGGTAAGATAAGAGATGAGAGATGGTTACTTCTCATTGTACAATTAAGATAGAAAAAAAAAGTTGCTTATATTATAACTCTACAGCATCCACTTAAATAACTCAGTGATCATCTTCTTCCGTTACAAATAAAAGATCTTGAATTTAAGTTGTATAATACGTGAAAATAATAAGATAAAAGATAAAAAATAATTAATTCTTATTATACAATCAAGATAATAATAATAATAATAATAATAATAATAATAAATCTTATATTATAACCCCGCAGCATCCACAACCCTCTATCCTAATCTCCTCTGAAAAGACTTAACAAAATTAAAAAACGTCAATGAATCAAAAATAATCTTATCTCATGTCATAGTGTTCTTATGTATTATGATAATTGTGATCCACTTTTTCACTTAAAAAAAGTGCATAACTCAATATGTATTAACTTGTTTAACATCGTGTCTAATGAGAGTTCAGAGGCCTTTTTCCTACTTTTATAAAGTGAATCACTTAATTAAATTATTAAATTGTCTGTTGGGAAAGCGCGCATGCTTAGCTGTTAATCAAGTTTAACCCCCCCCCACCCCCCAAGAAAAAAGAGTCCGTACTCAGCACGGATTATAGTGTCTAATTAATTCTAATAAGCAGCCAACACTGTCGGTTAAATTTATTGATAAATAAAAATTATCTTATAATGTAAATTTAATATT